TATGGAAACCCCAGCTACTTTGTCAATCAGCATTGTCCAGGACTTGGCCTCCACTAGAAACGAGACCTAAAACAGTGCCGCCCCTTGATGCCAATTATGTGGCTCTTGATTAGCACTACCGGTACTAACGTTGCCGGCAATAGCACAAGCAACCGAGTCATAGAAGGAGCGATGTGTTTTGGGGCGACACGTTTCTCACTGCAGGTGCGGCAAGGGCACAGCGAGAGATGAAGAGTATCCTCTTCGTGCTCGTACGCAGTTACACCAAGACTACATTTCTAGCATGCTCCAGCATGCATTACCAGAGAAAGCGACAAATATCGTGGAGATATTACTGACTCCAGTAACAAAGCAGCTGCAACTACAACAAGCCAATGCGTATGCTGGCACGGATGCTGGCATGCCTCCAGGAGCTCCTCCAGGCCGCCTAACAAATGGGACCTGGCACAGACCAAGCCATGAGTTGCCACGCGATTTTACTTGAATCACCAGCGTACCGGTATTGTCGAAGACAACGGACCATTCGTGATTCGGCATTCGACGTTTCCTTTCGTAGCCCAATGCAGGTTCGAACGGCAAATCGAACCTACCTGCCACACGGACAAAATGTATATACACTGCCAATGCAGAAAGTTCTCTCGCTACACCACCGGTACTATATCAAGAAGATGTCGCGCGCGAGTCCATTCATCTCCCGCTAGTATCCGTGCCATCTCGTGCCATCCAAATCCCTTCGATCGCCACCGCTGGCTCTTCCGTGGTCGCACGTCAGTGTGGATTCTAAAAAACCAGATGTGTTGGCTTCGAACTTCGAGTGCCAGCAGTAAAGGCACCGACATTGACAAATCCAGCGCGGTCGTGTTCGTTGGGTTGCTGGAGGGCGGCGGCATGCTAGGCCACACGCGTCAAATGACGAGTAGCACATTGCGAGCCCTAAAATATCCCGACAGAACTGAGCTGGTCGTCCATAAGAGGACGCATTGAAGAATGGTCGCATTACTAGTACCAACCCACCGAATGTGCAGCGCCGGACGTCTCTGCAGCTCACTCGGCAACTCTGGACTTCTCGACAAATCCAAGATCGCTTGGTGTATGTGCGACTGTTCGTACCTGCCAGAAAAGCTGCTGGACGACGAGCGGCGAAGAAGGGGAACGAACCTTGTCGTTCGAAATGCTTTCTTGACTCCTCGTCCAGGCAGGACGCGTGTGCGAACTTCGACGAAGGGCCACTTTTGAGAAATCAACTATCCACTATTGTCGGTAATGGGATATCGCAGAGTTTGTATCGCTCTGGAATTATCCCATGCCTTGGTTGGGACAAATACCCCAGGGGACCCAATTTTTCGTGATAAACCTTAGTTTTGTATGATATATCAGGTAGGGCCCCCAAATCGAAATGGTGAGAAACGGGTGTAAAAGGACCTGCCACCTCCAGCTGGTGAACACAGCATGTGGAGTAACTCGATGCCCACGCTTCGTCGCTTATCCCTCACTCTTCGACATCTACTCTCCTCATCATGCCCGTCCAAGACAGCATCATGACCATCTCGCCTGGCAACACGGCGGCAGCCAACGGCGGCGACGTCGTCGCGTGGCGCGAGACGTTCGGTCACCCCGCCGACCTCAAGGACGATGATGAGTACGAGGAGAACTTCCAGCGCAAACGCCGCAATCGTATCATTGGCATCTCGGCCGCCGCCTTGCTCGTCGTCGGCGTGGCTGTCGCCGTTATTTGCACGCAATCTGGTGGCACCGATGCAAGCGTGAGCTCTGGCAACAATGTACCGGGAGGTAAGTCTCCGACGCCTGTGCCGTCGTCGTCCAGCGGTGCGCCTTCGTCCGGCGAGGTGTCGGTTGGCAACACTGGAGTTGGCGATGCCACGGTTCCTGTCGCTACGACGTTCACCCCCATCTCGATCGTCGATGGCAACTCGACTACTGCTACCAACACCACAGAAACCGTGACGACGGAGCCCACCACCGTAACGCCAGAGCCCACAACTGCGCAGCCGACGACCGAAGCGGCTTCGCACCTCGAAGAGGCCACCTTGGCCCCGACGCCCGCTCCCACGCCGGCCCCGACGCCGGCCCCGACGCCCGCTCCTACGCCCGCTCCGACGCCCGCTCCGACGCCAGCTCCGACACCTGCTCCTACGCCGGCCCCGACGCCTGCGCCGACCCCGGCACCCACGCCTGCACCAACGCCCGCCCCAACCCAAGCGCCCTCGCCACCCAGCCCCGCTGCAATCGGGTCGGGTGTTTACCGCATCAAGAACGGCTGCGACAAGCCGCTCGACCTGTGGTGGCGCACGCAGCCGTATGCCGACCACAACACGCAGCTCGCCGGCGGCGGCACCAAAGACTTTGGTGTTGGTGACTTTGGCGCTGGCAACGTCATGTTCAAGAGCGGCGCTGGCCAGGACGCGACGCT